CTAGAAGGCGAGCCTGATCTTGTTGAATATGGAAATTTTGAAATAAATTTTTGTGGACACTCCGTACCAACGGAATATCCCACTGTTTTTGTTGGTTAACTTCCAGTGGGACATTTTCGCCGGGACAGAGCGTTAGCCATATTTGCTTTGCCTCCGCAGCAAAGCATAGGTCTACTTTAATATTTAAAATTGTGTTACATAGGTCATTAACACTATGCACGGAAGCAAGGAAAGCAGGCAATGCGACGCTAGAAATATTTCTTATACCAATTCCACCAAATTTGATAGGTAAAGTGGCTTGATTCCAGGCTATTGCATTTAATCTCAAATTTAGAATGTTTTCTAAAGCAATTTTAAGACTATTATCGATATCTTTTAAAATATCCGAACATTTCCAGACTGGACTTGAGCGTAACAAGTATGTAAATGTAGGTACAAGGACACAATATTTTAAAATAGTAAGGGCAATGTGGGGGTTTAAAATATATAATTTATCAACGTGATTTAAAAATTGATCAAATTTTGTTTTTAAAACAGGTTTAATACTATCGAAAAACAACGGAGCACCAAGCAGGTAAAGCGATTCCGAATTGACAGTTTTTATTCCTGGAGAAATCTGATTGAAATTTTGAATTAAGGTATCTCTTTTAGAATTAGATAAATTATTAGAAATAAATATTTCACATTTATTTGTATTTGGTTCAAGACCAATATTTTTAAAATTTTGAAAAATATGAGTCATGATGATCATTGAGGACGTCATCTGCTTTACCTCCCAGTGTACCGTCGTCCAGATACCAGACATTCAGCTTGGATTTTAAATTTGAAATAATAGGTTGAATTCCCAAACTGAAAAGAGCTGGACCTAATGGATCACCCTGCTGAACACCGACAGCAGACTCAATAATATGGTTTTGATAAAACAAGTTTGAATTTTGACTGTAACATTGCCAAACGTAATGATATATTTCGGGGGTATTGTTAGCCACTTCTTTCAGCAGGGTTATCCTATCAATAGAGTTGAAAGCATTTCTAAGATCAACCTTCAGAAGAACATCTGCATCGGAATTAGTTAAGAAAGTACGCACCGAATGTACCGCCGCCTCACAGCCACCTTTGGTGCCAAAGCCTAGTTGAGTAGGTTGAAATTTTGTCTTAAGGTTTGAGATTATGTGCCTGCAAGCTAATTTTGAAGTTAAGCGTCGAAATGTAGAACCAACAGCAATAGGACGGATACCGTTATCCTTTTTTTTGAAGGCACACAATCTTGCCCCATATAAGTAGGGAATGAAATTGGGATTGACGTTACCAGAAAGCATAAAATTACATAATTTTGTTATGTCATTAAGAAGTACCCTACCGGCGTCACCGGCAGATACGCTTACAAGGTCTTTGAGATGCTGAGGCGTAATCCCGTCAATGCCGCCGGCAGAGCCATTCGAAAATGACAATATTGCGTCTAAAGTGTCTTTTTCGGAAACTTGTAATGGTTGCATAGAAGTATTAGGAGGCAGCGGTAAATTCTGGGAAGGATTGACCGAAGGATGTTTCTGACGAAGGCCTTCAAGAGTTTCGACATTACGAGGAGCGAGGATGTCATCTGAGAATAAAATACGGGATGCATTTTTTAAGTCGCCGTCCATTACTTTTGACTCAACTACTTTTTTTTAAATCAAATTTAGGATAAGGTCGAGGAAAATGAGTATTAATCGGGTAATTCAAATTTTGAAAAGAATTTTCTTTTAGTTGAGACGTAATTGATTTATTTATTGTTTTACTAAAATGAAAGTGGGAATACGCGAATGTAAATAATTTTTGCCAACTTTTTTCACAATTCGTTAGACAATTTTGAATGGTTAATGATAAAGCTTTAGCAAGTTGCATCCTCGCACCTCTTGGAATTCTTTTAACCACTGGTACGTTACTATACAAATTGTATAATTGTTTCGAAAAAAGTGAAGAATTTGTGTCATTAGGTATATTATCAGAAGAGTCATGAATTTCTACGGTAGGCTGTGAAGCCGAAATATTTTTACTATGGCATCGTTTAATGTGTATATTTAATCCCTTTTTACCTTTAAACAGCCTACCGTCGGTACAATTTTGACATCGTAGGAAATCCGGCTGTGAATGTATTGGAGCGATAATATTCATAGAAAATGTAAAAAAAATAAAGATGTAAAAATATATCTACAGCACTCAAAAGTTTATAATTTAGTAAAAATCAAAATCTTGAAAATTAAAAGAAAAACCTAGTTCTCGAGCTTTGTTTATCGCCTTAAAAGCAATCTAATATTAATATTGTTGTACGATGAATCACCAGGCGTTGCATCTTGAAGTGACCTACAACTATAACCGCTTACAGTTGATGGTTTCAAAGCTTCTTTTGGTGACAATCTCAATAAAACGCTCAAACATCTCAATAAAAACGCGGCATTCGTGGTTTTCTTGGGATCAGTAGAAGTGTAGTGAGCATTGATTTCGTTATTTTGACGTTGTTCTATTTTCTCTTTTAATATTTCTTTAAAGGTCTCCCTGGCATTAATGTTGCAAAATAAAATATAATCTTGGTGTATTCGGCGATCGTCATTTCGTGTCATCACTTCAGGGAAACGAACTTGTAAATATATTATCACATATTCATTAATATTGAAATATATTATTTACATAAAACGTTATTTTTAGGAATTTCAGGAATAAAATATAAATATATTCTAATTAAAATATTTGGTTAAAATATACGACAGTTGTCAAACTCTTCTCTCGTAGACAGAGAATGCATTAATCTATTCAGTCAATTTATTTTGACGATTTTTGAAACGTTGAAGTGTCAAGAGGAAACCATTATTTAAATAAGTTTCTTAAACTTACATAAAGAAGAAAATGATGAATCACTTTTTATTGTTTTTTTTTCTGTTTTTTTTATTAAAATCGATTAACTAACCTATTTCACCTGGCAGCATTGTTTAAAAATGAAAATAACGGAAGTCAATATTATTTTTATTAAATATTTAATGTCTTTTGCCATGATAAAACTGTTTGATTAATATTTCACTTGTGTAATGTTAGGCCTAAATTCGCCCGTCTCCTTTAGTCTATTTTTACAGATAAATCTAAGTGAAAACGGTAAAATTCTAACGAAATTACGAGATAATTTCATATTCTTCAAGATTCCGTTCATTTTTCCTATTAACATTTTATCATAACCTATACAATTTTTCATAAAACAGTCCAATACCTATATAACAGTTCAAATATTTCGCCATAGCCATATTTTAGCACATATGCAGGGATTGCGCAAATTTTATCGATAAGGCGATCAATATAGATAGATTTATATGGCGGTAATAAAAATACGAAATATTTATCACTTTTTTTTCATTTGGATAAATTCAATATGTATATAGCAATTTCTGTTGATATAATAATATATGACCTATTGTCTATACATATATTATCCCTGCTGAATATATATTATCCCTACCATATCATAATATAATATGAATATAATATGAATATATCAGGGGTCTAATATCAAAGGCGGCAAAGTCCAGTTAAAGTAATTTTACGTGATTTAAAAAAAAAACTGATAATATTTAAAAGATATTATATGTTTACTGTTATGATGTATTTATATTGAGTGATATTTTGATATTATTTATTTTAAACTATATTTTACTGATATAATAAGTCAGATAACTACTTACTTACTTACTTATCTTCACGCACAATCCCTAACGAGGTAGCCAGAGAGAACAGATCGCCAAGTGTCACGATCCTTACATACCTCTTTCGCTTCTTTCATGTTCATTAACTTCTTCATACATGCACGTCCAGGTATCCGAGTACTCTTGACCTTCCCCTCTTCGAGTAATTTGCTCACATGGTCCCTACCATATCATAATATAATATGAATATATCAGGGGTCTAATATCAAAGGCGGCAAAGTCCAGTTAAAGTAATTTTACGTGATTTAAAAAAACTGATAATATTTAAAAGATATTATATGTTTACTGTTATGATGTATTTATATTGAGTGATATTTTGATATCATTTATTTTAAACTATATTTTACTGATATAATAAGTCAGATAACTAAGAAACTTAAATAATGTGATGGACTTTGCCACATTTGTTAGTAAAGTAAGGAACTTTACCATTTTTGTTATGGATTGTTATGGACTTGCCATATTTGTTAGGATATAATTTAAACAGCTGTCAAGGGTGTCAAAAAAAAAAACAAAATATAATTGAAATGCTTTATTTTATTTTGATAAACTTAAAAACTTTGATAAACCAATAAACTTAAAAAAGTAATCACTTTTAAACTCTCAATGCTGTGCTTTCCGTACGAGATGCATCATCATAAAATTTTTTCCTCGGCGACACACACTACGAATGGCACCTAAATCACTTTTATGAAATACTTCAACTTGTACTAATGTATTGTAAGTCTCTGTGCGGGATCGTTTGATTATTATACGTTTAGATTCCATGAATTTAAAATGCCACTGACCTGGATGTTTCAGTATTTTCTACGCAGCACATTTCCAATCGAGCACTTGGCAATCATTATTACCCATGAGTATTAATGTAGCATAATTTGCCATGAGGTGATGATACTCTTTGGTTGAATGATTACTTCTTTTTTTTGACCTCGTGTTCTATATGACCAATAAGTCTATCTGATGGCAGATACGAATGACCCGTGATGGGGAAGTAAATTTCTATTTTTTTATATTCGGATGTAAAAGTAGCCACCTACAACACATTCCAATAACAATTGTATTTTTATTTTAACCTCCGCAGCCTTCGGAAATCAATCTTACTGTGTGGATGTTCTTTAAATCTGTAGCATTAACCCGATGGTACAGTGCAGAAGCCACTGTATTCGAATCTTTTGAATATTGCTCTTCACCCGATACATACGAGAATACATTTTCTTGTGTTAAATTATCATTTGAGCTACCTTGTACGATGGTTAAATTATAAACATAAAATTATCTGCTATAGTAGGTTGACTGGTCGTGTAATTTAGGTAACGGCTGACTCTTTTGACAGTCAAAGGAAAATGTGATAACTCCTGCAGGCTTTGATTTCAAAACATCATAAAAATCTTTTGCTTGAAGAGAATGAACTTGTTTTGAAGTCATCAGTTTCGTTTTCTTAGCAATATCAGTCTCAAACTTTATTTTTTCTTGAAACTGTAGGCATGTTGAGCAAATATCAGTTTTAGATGATCCAAATCCAAGATTGAACTCTGTATTAAATACCTTTCGGAAAAGTGCTTTCGTAGCAATAGCCTGAATATCCCGTTCTTTGTACATCTTATGCAGCTTACTAATATTTCATTCTGCAGGTAAATAATGACGAACAGATGTGGTACCACGGCAGTTATGTGGTTCTGAGCAATTTAATGACTGAATAAAATCTTTATCCCTTGCCTTCTTTCTACTGGGCTCCCCAGTACCAGCTCCTTCCACTTGACCGCATCCAGCGCAGAGCGGCTCGAATCGTCGACGACCGAGTGCTTTCCGATCGGCTCGATTCACTGGCGCTGCGAAGAGATGTTGCATCTCTTTGCGTATTTTATCGCATCTATCACGGGGAGTGCTCTGAGGAATTGTTCGGATTAATCCCAGCCGCCAAATTTCGTGAACGCACTACACGGCAAACGTCCCGATACCATCCACACCATCTGGATGCTTGGCGGTCCACCACTGTACGTTTCAAAAGGAGTTTTCTTCCGCGTACAACCTCTCTGTGGAATAATTTACCACCGGTGATTTTTCCGGACCGATACGACCTGGGGACCTTCAAGAAAAGAGCTTACTCCTTTCTAAAGGGCCGGCAACGCACCTGCAATTCCCCTGGTGTTGCGGTTGATCATGGGCGGCGGTAGTCACTTAACATCAGGTGAGCCACATGCTCGTTTGCCCCCTCTTCTATAAAAAAAAAAAAAAAAAAAAAAAAAAAAAACAAACTTGTGGCTTTTATGATCACCACCTCGCTTCTCTATAGGGCACTCTCCTGTCTCGAAATGTTTTCTTATTACAGTTAATACTCTATGTTTTTTTTATATTTAAATAATTTAAGAAAAACTTTTGACACACTAGCACAGGTTTATTATTTGCAGGTATGTAAACCTTAGTAGTATAAGTTTTCGGCTTGTATGTATTTGTTCGTGATCTCTTACGTTTTGTTGAAACACTTTTGGTATATTTTAAAATAAGGCTGTCTTGTGCTTGTTTCGTCGCTGTTTTGTAAAACGCTGCATAAAATTTCATGATATCATTCATGGTCAAAGAACTGCACTGAAATCCCTTTTTATGGGTGCACATAATTCGATCGGGCAACATGGACAATTCATATCTAAAAAGAAAAATAATTATTTGTGTGTAACATTCAAGTTATCGAGTTTTATTAACTCTGCTTTATTTTGTCCAACTATAAAAGTAGCTTAATACTGTTTCTGCATCTAAGAATATGTTCGTGGAAAGTTTCAGCTCAATGGAGTGAGTAGTTATGCTGTAAAGAAGTAACAAACATCGATACATCCACCAAGCTTTCGCACTTAAAATATGTATTAATATGATAGGTACAATATTTATTATACATAAAGGATAAAACTCAAAATTTATTATGGAGTAAAATATTTTTTTAAATATTATAAATATATATTATAATAATATTATAAATATGTTATGAATACATTTAGTAAAAAATTATAATTATTATTTTGTATTTGAAAAATTAATTTGAGAGTACAACCCTATCGAAAATAGCTACTGACCTTAGTTTCTTTGACTTATTTTGCTTCCAGTTTTCGGGATTCGCGGCCCTTTTCCTGGTTTTATTTTGAGGCACAACTTTAGGTCGGCAATCCATCTTCACTTCTATATTTTTTCTATTAATGTAATAAGTCTAAACACTTATAATTAATGAAAATAAGGACATAGATAATGCAGTTTTGGAACAGCTCGTCTCTGATTGGTCGAAATGGACATTGCTAATTTTATTTTATTAGTCAGGGACTTTCCCGCATTTGTTAAAAAACGTTTTGTTTATGCGTAGAAATCTATTGGATTTTTTCGGATTTGTTCGAATCTCACAAAGTGATCTAGTAAAAAAGAGGGAAATTAAAATTCACGTTTGACATTATAGGGGACTTTACCGCCTTTGTTATTAGACCCCTGATACATGATATGATAGAGATAATCAGTAAATCTGTTGGTATGTAAAAAATAATATTTTCATTTTTAGCATGTGGAAGCCCGGAAGTAACCCAGTTCTCCAGGTGTTCATCAATGTCTTTCTCGATGAGGAGGCAGACGACATGGTCATTGATGAATACCATAGGGAACTGGTAGAAGAGTTCTATGACGCCAACGACATACTTGTAAGTAATATTTATATATAACATCAGTCATATTGATAAATAGAAACATATAGATATATAATAATACAAACATACAGATTAAAATGTTCATTTTTCAACAGAACATGCCTATGTGGTTCAAGAGACCCGATGGGTCTCTCGGAGACTTTTCCGAGTTGTTGGAGTCATCGGTGACAGTGCCTGCGGAGGTGTCTGTAAGTAATATTTATATTTATAACATCAGTCATGAAACGTTTCTATTTTAATTTTTATATTTCAGCTAGTATTTATATATACAATATGTAACATAATTAACGCACTTTGAGAAAGTAGTTTGTTCAGAATCGCTTACTGAATCGATTCCTATCATTTTTAGGGTTCCATAGTCAACTAGGAACCCTTATAGTTTCGCCATGTCTGTCTGTCCGTCTGTCCGTCCTCGCTTAATCTCTGTGACCGTTAGCACTAGAAAGCTGAAATTTGGTACCAATATGTGTATCAATCACGCCAACAGAGTGGTAAAATAAAAATTGGAAAAAAATGTTTTATTAGGGTAGCCCCCCCCTATATGTAAAGTGGGAAGTGATTTTTTTTTTAATTTCAACCCTAACGTGTGATATATTGTTGGAAAGGTATTTAAAAATGAGTACGGGTTTACTAAAATCTTTTTTTGATAATGTCAATAATTTCGGAAATAACCGTTCCAAAAGTAAAAAACAATGTGTCCCCCCCCCCCTCTAACTTTTGAACCATAAGTTTAGAAAATATAAAAAAAATCCGAAAAGTGGAACTTTATAAGGACTTTCTAGGAAAATCATTTTGAACTTGGATGGAAACAACAGTACCCACTACCGGGAGCAGTTGCAGGACCGCGGAGCGCTGCTGGAGCGCGAACGTAATGGATAACCCACCGTTTAACACAGTTTAAACTCATAAGTGGGAACACTTATTGTGACGGACGGGAAACTACGGAACCCTACACTAAGCGTGGCCGGACACGCTCTTGGCCAGTTTTTTAATATAGGTAATTTTTTTATCCCAAAAATAATTAAAACTACGTAAATTACGGTCACACTAAATCTGTACAGTCAAAACAAACTGAAATGGACCGTAACTTAAGGCAATAAGACTTTTAAGAGTGCAGTTTTATTTGTATTATTACTAATTCTGTCATTCAATAAAAATAAAAATAAATGAACTTTATTTCAAACACGTTAAAGTCTTTGCGTTCGTGGATTTGTACTGTGACCGCAACATTCTACCGTAATTAGTATAACTAATTTGATAAATAATCAGTGCATAAAAATGTTTAACTAAAAATTCAGTGTATGTATTATGATTATAACATAATATAATTATATATAACATTATCAATACATAACAATTATACAACAATAACAATTATATATAAATGTTTGCAGCACAATAAAAATGTGTTCATTTTTCAACAGGATTCACCTGCTCCGCATCACCGGGTGGAAGCAAGTAATATACTGCCAGTTACCCTTCAAGAACGTATCTTGGATTTCTTCGCGCAGAACCCAGAGGAGAGTACCAGGCGGGCGGCCTGTATTTTCGATGTTTCTCGCTGGACAATTTGGAAAATTCTACACATTGATCGTCAACATCCATATGATTTTCAGCGCAATGCGTACTTCAAAATTTTGATAAAGTTTCTATTTTTTTTAAATACATCAGAAGCAGCTCTAGACAAAATTAATAACTATTTTGTTACTGTTGCAAAAGAGCTATCTGATAAAATTACATTTGAAGGCAACTCAAATATTCCAAAATGTAAACCAGTATACACACCTGGTAACTCGTTGGTTTTGTTAGTAACAACAGAGCAAGAGGTTGAATCTACACTAATGAGTTTGAGATCAGATAGTGCAGTAGGTTGGGATGGTATTTCCTCAAAAAATAACAAAAACATTATTGTTTCACCTTTAACACGTATAATAACTAAATAACTTTTGTATTAAACAGGTACTTTTCCGGACGTCTTTAAAATTTCAGTAATTCATCCTATTTACGAGTACAAGAGAGGAAACAGAGAACGCGTTAATAATTACCGCCCGATTTCTGTACTACCTTCCCTATCCAAATCTTTGAAGATTTTTTGAACAAAAGACTAATATTGTATTTAGAAAAAAATAATATCTTATTCAACAATCAATATGGTTTTAGAGCTGGTAGATCAACAGCTGATGCAATTTCTGATCTAACTGAATTTGTAGTTAGTCAAATAAATAGTAAATTTAAATGTATTGGAGTGTTCTAATATTTGGCAAAGGCCTTCGACACAGTTTCTGTTCCGATTTTGTTGAGTAAAATTTCGATTTTGTAAAGTAAAAAGTCGGTATCAGAGGGATGATGGCACTTGCTTTATTCGAGGATGACTTAAAAAATAGGATCCAGAGGGTAACCATTGACGGCTATTTTAGTAATAATGCTCCTATTAACTACGGTGTACCTCAGGGTAGTGTACTCGGGCCAACTTTATTTTTAATTTATTTTAACGATTTATGTAAACTCATTTTAGATATGTGCAAAATTTTTACTTACGCTGATGACACTGCATTAATCTTCTATGGAAAAAGTTGGGACGAAGTTAGGATTCATTAGGAATGCAAGCATCGTTACAATAGGTCAATCAAAACCTTCCCACTTTGAATATCTCTAAAACAAAATTTATGTTGTTTGCCAATAATAAACGAGCACTATCCCTTGCTTAGTTTTATCACCCTGCGAGCATGGGCAAGAGACAAAAATTATATCCCCCGATTATATCCACTGACAAGAGATAAAATTATGTTATCTCTATAGTATATCCCCATTTGACATAACGAGTGGACATATATCTCCCCGTCCGTAGCATGGGGCCAAGGGAAAGAGAAAAAATTATCCCTTTTTGACATTTGAAAGGGACAATTTTATCCTCTTTCGCGG